TTTTTAAAATTATCTCATCTTTATTAATTTATTCCCCACCTAGTAAGGAAATGTGAGCTCCATGAAAGAAAGAATACTGTCTGATTCAGTCCTGTGTATCTCCTACACTTAGAGAATTATAGGAACTCAGTAAATATTAATTAGCTGAATAAATCATAGCACTAAAAGTAAACAATCTAATACCAAAACTTTAGACTAATAAGGTTCATTCTCATTGTCTAGATTATCTAGGAAGTAGTCTCCATTGCTGATAAAAATCCTGATTTCTGTAGTTCAGTTTTTTGATGCATAGACCCAAAAGGATTTTTTTCTAATTTATCAGATTTAAAATTCTTTCCATGATACAAAACAATTTCCCATGATATATTAAATGATAAGCAATATAAAGGAACAATGAAAATAACTAAGATATTGGGGCAAACTGACAATCTAATGACTAATAGTACAAGAATCTAAGCAAAAGTATTAAAATGTACTGTCCTTCCATCTTGCTTTTAAAAGCCTCAATTATGTCTATCGGCTTCCCATAATTTAGTTTTCACTCAATAATAAAAAGCAAATATATATTTATTTATATTGTTAAAGATTCCAACATTTTATATATACATTTGCAAAGTTAAAATCTAATTTATAATTTTGCACACTATATTTTCCAAATGAAAGTAAGAGAACTAGACCATTTTTCACATAAATTATTAATGTGATATTAGAAAATAATGTCCATTTTTAATTTGTATACACTCCCACCTACTCTTGCTACCCTACTCTTATTATTTAGAAGCAAATATCAGATATCATATTATATCATATATATTTAAAATGTATTACTAAAATATAGGAACACTAAAAATGACTACTAAACCATTATCATCCTAAATTTTGAAAATAATTTATTATCAAATAATCAAGTTTGTGTTGACATCTAAATTTGCATATAATTCGTTCAAATAATTTCAATTTTTGTTAGATCATCATAATTATACATAGTAACTGGGCTCATTTTGACAAAATCATACATACAAGGAATTTGATTTCAAGCCCTAACCCCTCCTTTTTCCTTCCTCTATTCTTCCTCCTCTATTAGACTTCTTTTCTTCTACAGATACATAAACATGAAATTCCTTTTAGTTATGAATATAACATGACTTTGTTAAATTTATCTACCCTTTGCCCTTCCTTCCTCCCTCTCATTCTCCTACATCAACTCCACTGATATTCACTATATCTTTTTTATATCATATTCTCTCCCTCACTGCCTTCTTTCTCTTATTTTGCTCTAGCTTACACATCTGAGAGACAGCATTTAACCTTTAATTTTCAGAGTCTGGTTATTTCACTTAGCATGATTTTTTTCATTTCCATCCACTTGCCAGCAAATGCCATTATTTCGTTGTTTATGGCTGAATAGAATTCTATTGTGTAAATGCCACATTTTCTTAAAACTTTCATTTATTGATGGACATCTGGGTTGAGTCCATAATCAACTTTTTAATTGGTTATTGTGAATTTTGCTGCTATAAACAATGAAGCAGCTATATTGCTATAGTAGGCTGGTTTTAGATCTTTTGGATGAAGACTGAGGAGTGGAATAGATGGATCATACATATGGTGGTTCCATTCCTAGTTAGTTTCATGAGGGATCTCCACACTGCTTTCCAG